TTTTTGCTTTCGAAAAATCTCTCCACACTGCAGGGTTATGGAGGATACAATATTAGGATTAGGATGTTTTTTATTAAGGAATAAAAACTAATTCAGTAATAAACTCATTGTATTTCCTATAAATGTGCTTACTGGTATCAACAGTAACTTACTTACTTTCTTGCTTTTTAAAACCTGCTCATACAGCCTCATTTTGGTGGGAAAAGGGTTCAAGTCCTCTCCTTCAACCTCTGAAGATTTAGAGTATTTCTCTTTTCATCATTTAACTTAATTGTTTTAAATGTTCAGAAACTGTGAGACAATAAGCAGTTTCACTGCACCTGTCTGCAATAAAACCACAACAGCTGGAAAATATAAATGTTGAATCTGTTTGCACGTCGTCCACCTCACAGAAGAAGAAGCACCCATGTTAAAAGGTACGCCATCAGAGCAGACTGGCATTTTTACTTAAAGATACAGACGTTAAAACTGAGCGTTTTAGACAAAGAGAGAATACAGGAATATTCAGACAGACGAGAGGAGAAGAATGATGTGTTTTTTGCACATTAAAGTATGAAAACATGTTCTAGTAGAAAGCCAAAATACAAGTAGGACCCTGAAAACGAGTATGACATGTCCCCTTTAATGTTTGACACTCTGCACATCCATCCATGGTGACATCGAACAGCTGAGCCAAGACGTCCATTTCCAAATGGCAGAGTTAATGAACTGAAGAAGAGGATGCAGCGAGTGTGGTGAAGTCACAGGGAGCTAGCGTTAGTCAATACGGGCACTAAAGACATTAGCAAAGACATTTACCCTTCACTTCTCCTTCCTCTCTCCCTCCCCCTCTCCCCCTTACCTTATTCTCTCAAACGTTCCAAGCCACCTCCCTCAATTTCTCTCTCTTTCTCCTCTCCTTTCCCCTACTCCCCCTAGAGAGTGATGCTGTGTTTCCTCCGACGACCATTTCACTTCCTGTACTGTACCTCGCTCCTGTCCACTGCTCTCCTTGTTTCATCTATATCTCACCCTTCCTCATGCCTCATCACCCCTCACCCCTGGTTCTTCAGGTGTTTTATCATAGACGGCTGGATGGATGGATGCTACTTTGGCCGCTCTTTCTTCCACAGGCACGCACACACATATGCAAACTTGACCACCTGTGGTGTGTAGTAATTGTCTATGGGCCCTGATGGGGGTTAGTGAGGTGGAACAGCCTTGGTATTTGCTGACCTGCTGGGCCGTGAAATCTCCCTGCATATGCACACGCCTCATATCCATTTAAATAGATTCAAATAAACGACCTTACACTGTGACTGAGATTGGACGGGAGCAAAGAAGGATGGATGGAAGGACGGACAAAGAGAGAGGGAGGTGGATGAGATAGAAGGTAAAACGCCGTTAAATGAAGTTTTTTTCCCCTCCCATTTCCACAAAGCATGGGAATGTGATGATTGATGGCTCGGTGGCGGCGAGGCGGCGCGGCGCAGCGCTGATGGATGGATGGAAGATGTGTGCAGCGAGGGGGAACAGAAGGAGATTCCATTTCAGATCTGCCCCTCATCTGATGCACGCGCATGCCAGTGCTCTAATATGTAGATTGTGTTTAGCCTTTATCTTTTGAAGTGATGTGAGAGGGTGGGGCAATAACACACACACACACACACACACACACACACACACACACACACACAAATACACTCGCACACCAACGGCCCTTTAAATTAGTGTGTGCATGGCATGCACGCAACTACTTATGTTTGCTAAAATAATCTGTAATATTTATGACACTGTCGCATCTTTATTGGTCGAGGTCATGACTCAGATTGTATTGGACTATTTCTTGATGTTTGTTTGGCTTGAGAAATTAATCTTTCAACATATCCTCATGCAGCATTTCTTATGATATCTTAAGAAAAATTACTACATTTTTTTATGTGTTTTCCTACGAAAGTGCAGCGACACGTGTCAATTTCCACTCGTTACATGCATACACTTTTTTTTTTTTTTAACTTCCATTTTTTAACAACTTAGTATTTGGAAAAGATCGTATTTTTGGTTAAAACACCTACGGAAAATAAGACAGTTTTTGTTTTTACCCAGCTGGCACTGTGTGTGTTTGCGGTCTTTATACTTCCTGGTTCATGATTACGTGGATTATATATGAATTGGTTTTGTGCAATACCTACAAATTACAGCGCATTCATTTACGAATGGTGTGAGAACCTCCAGTGTTTTAACAGCCTTCTTAATTTGAACACGAACACAAAATATATAAGCAATATATAGAAAAAACAAACACTTTTGAGTCGGACATCTACTCTGTAAATACGTTAACTGTGACTTTCCCTCTCTTCCCAACATGAAGACAGATGTGGATGTTTATGCTGGCGGTTGAGGACTGCATGCCCTTCTTTGGGGCAGAGCAACAGCAACCCTCTGGCACAAACAGCTGCCATGTGGAACATGTCAGCCTCTTTCACACCCTGCAAAAGCACCCAAAGGTGGGTCAAAACGAATTTATAGAATTTGTTTAAGTGGGGAAAGTTGGGTGACTTTTTTTTTTTAACACAAACTTGCATTAGGTGGGGGATGCAATCATATTCTTCTACCGGTGGTCACTAGCAAAATCAGCAGTTTGGGTTTGAGTGATACATCTCAACAGCTTTCTCTGACAGACAGAAAAGAAAAGCTTCACAGCGAAAACCTGGACTTTACAAAACACATTAAAAGGGAAAAAAACGTAATGCAAGACATATTACATCCATACTTGCTTTATCTCCACAGGATAATCTCATTCACTATCTCTTTCTTGCTCTCTTTTTTGGTTAAAATAGGTACATTTGTAATGTAAAATAAGTTTGTTAGATAACTTAATTATTTAACTAACGTATGTAAACAAAGCAACAGTAAAATAAGTCAACGTTGGCATGGTTTGATGCGGGACACAAACATCGGTCTCCTGGGTGAGAGTCCTGTTTTTGTTTGACCCGTCCAACCTCCCCTCCCTCCCTTTTCCGCTCTTTATACTACGTCAGTTGCTCTGATGGTCGAGTGACGTGGATGAGTTTACGTTAGAGTTAGTTGAAAGCCTGTGCGTCTCATACAGACTTTAAGGCTGACTAGCTGCATTGGTATCAGACGTCAAGAGCCACTGACCAAGCGTCCGCTATTGACGAGTTGGGAGTGAGAACGGGTTGCATTATCTGCTGATATCCAAAAACACCACACAGCTGAAGTTGCTCAGGTGTGTTTGAATATTTCCAGTATGGTGTAACGTCTGGTGTCAACATGGTTGGACTCGGGGATCCGGCCCTTTTTAAAGAATTACACAGGACTGTGTAAAATGTCAACCTACACAATAAGCCAGATGACAGAAAGCCTTGACACGTCTATAGAGCTGCCCTTCCCAAAGCTTTTTTATCTGTCTCTTCACTCTGTTCTTTTATTCATCGCTCCATTTCTTTTTCCTTGGTGGAAAGCACTGTTGGTGGAGGTCTAAACGCCCGGAGCCGACGGAGGGGATTTCAGGTGTCAAGGGAGGGAGAGAGGGAGTCAGGGAGGGATGTGAATAATAGATCAGAGAGGGGAAGAGAAAGTGGGAATGAGACAGGGAGGAGGGGGGGGAGAGAATGAGGGAGTCATAAAAGGTGCATGGAGAGAAAGAGAAACAGATATAAAGAAGGTGTCAAAAGAACCGAGAGATACATAGGGGAAGCAGTCTGAGGAGCGAGAGAAAGGAAGGAGGTAGGATTGAGTATTATCTTGGAGGGCAACCCGTGACGAGTAAACACACATCTGTCCATCCGTTCATCTGTTCATCCATCCATCTGTTCCTCCCTCCTCTCCGTCTCTTCCCTGCCTCCAGTGTGGTCAGGAGTTGTTGCATAAGACGGCGATTCATCTTTTATTGAGATTGGAAGCTTCCATAAAAATGTCTACCTTGTTCTCCTGAGTTTAAAAGCTCAACCTGTAATCCAGCTAAAAATAAACAAAGGAGACCCACAACAAATAAAATCATACAGGAGAAGCACACTAGACACAACTTTCTTCAATTAGTTCAGAAACATGTTTTTGTTGACTGTTATTTGTATTTATAATTATAACTTAAAATTAACATATAATTTGAAACGAAAGGATATATTTAAAGGCCAATGATTATTCTTGCACCGATGCTGCCGATGCCCATTCATGTGGATATTCATTTTACTTAAATTAAACAATTTTTAATTACATGTATGTTTCCTGCAAATGTTCAAACTGTCAGAGACTCAAAAACTGTCCAAAATGAGCCAAACTGCAGGTTTTATAAACGTGTTAATGCCATAAACAACTGCCCAAAATGCATCATGCTGGAGTGCGTTACAGTATGTGGCAGGCTGGTCTCCTCCAGCATGCATAACAATACCTACGAAGAGTAATTTGAATATGTCCCACAAAATGATTTAGTATGTTGTCGAGGTAATCATGAACGAGGAAGCGCACACAGGGCTGCAGCAGTCTTTATAGGTTTTAACCTAAACGACGACTACGAACTAAGTAGTTGTGTTGCCTAAACCCAACTTTACTGCGACGATGGAAGTTTATTTTGAAAAGACAGAAATGTACACGTGTTGCAGGCTTTCATAGGAAAACCAACAGAAAACGAGGAGAAACGTTTCATAGGAGCCGTTCTATGAGGATACGTTGGTGTTGGTTTATCACGACAGGACATTTGGTCTAAATGTATTTATATAGAACTGTACAAAAAGTACATTTATTTACACTGACAACATTGCTAATATGTTGATATTAAATAACTGTACACATAGATAAACATCTTTCTATTTTGGCGTCTTTGTTTTCCAGAGGAGTACCAGATTCAGCCTTTTTTTTCATCACCTAAGAACCACGCTTTGTGTCTTTCAAGAAAGATGTCCTCCCGCTTGGTATCCACAGAACAAATAACAATCGCTGTCAGGAGACCAATTAAAGCATAAAAAACAAGATGAAAGAAGGAGGGAAGACTTGTTCCTTACCTGAGCAGATCAATTTCATCAGCATGAACCCCCTGTTCACAGTGTTTCCTATTGGCACATCTCAACAGGCAGGAAGCCCACTTCAACTGGTCTCTACCGCACAGGGCTGCTACATACGTAACTACAAAGACACAGAGAGAGAAGAGAGAGAGAGAGATCAGCACATGAGTGAGAAGACGATGTGGGGAGCAGAAAGAAAACAAACAGCAGGCAGGTAGATGGAGAATGAGAGAAATAAACGAAGAGAGAAGCTGTGAGAGAGAGAGACTGATGTGCGAGTCACAACCTCCAAGCCCGGCTGTTTATAAAGCCAGGCAGTGTGTGTGTAGGTGTGTATTTCTGTGTGTGTGTGTGTGTGTGAGGCAGTCAAGTGGCCACCCACGCCACCCTGTGTGTGAATACGTGTGTGTGTGTTCATTGCTCTTTCCGGAACATGGCCACAGGGTTCAAATGTTCCAATCAATACCTGAACCACGCACACACACACACATACACACACACACACACACACATAAATGCATACAGTATACGCAAATACTACTACTTTACTACAGAGGTGAAAGAATACGTAGAAAATATGAATATACTGTAAAAACGAACTACACATGTAAATGAAGGTTTTCCCAATTGAATACACTTTAATGCGTCATCGCCTCTTCTTTTCTCAAGTCCTTTTCTCTGGAACAAACTTCCTTTTATCTTTTGTTACCGCAGCTAAACTGTTACTTCCTGTCCCTGCTGTAGAGAGTTTAGTTTAACGTGAATCAGTTGGAGGGCGTCCTTCATCATTCAATCCACCCTAAACCTTGCCTACACATCTGTTAAGGCACAACTGACACTGGACGTGTTCCTGGATTTATTTGATTGCTCTTTTACTACATTAGTACAGAGCGCTGCAGGGATGACATATTTTTGAAGGCCAACCAGGAAGTTAGCATCACACTGGTTCCCCTCCACAAAAAGCCAATGGGATTTTCTTCCATTATATTTTGGATAATTGCAGAAAATAACCTCTGTGGCAAACAAACGTTATCGATACTTACATATTTTGCTCAGCAAGATAATCTTCACAAATAAACACCTCTGTTAAAAGCATGAATGCAATCACTAGAACTAAAACAAAAAGCTAACGTTAGGCTATAAACAAATTAAATCATGGTCACATAATGAGTTTACACAACTAGACTGTTACGGCCGACTGTAGTGTTTTTTTTAGACATGTAAAGTTCACCACAGGGGTGTCTACTGATATATGTCTTAGAACATGTCTTAGACCAAAGCATTACAATCTCAAAGGTGAAAAGATGCTGACTCGTGTCCTCTTTTTAGGACTCATTCCTGCAGCCCTCTATTGGGACCTACAATGATCCCATTGTGGGAGTTATTTATTTAGGACAGTTTAACTGAGATTCTTCAGAAGGGAAATTCTTTTTTTATAATTTTTACATGTTCTCGTAATCTGCCAGTTTTCACTCTCTGCCGAATTTCGTTTGTTTCTTTTCGTGTTTGTGGCATTTCATTTTTTGTTGTTTTCTTATTAATTTGCTTGTCTTAGAGATCATCGCCATCGATCACAGACCTTTGCGCATGCGGGCCTATTAAAACACATATTGAGACATTGTTATATGTTAGTGGTCTCGACAGATAGAATTGAGCTGAGTAAACCCGTTCATAGGTGTCAAACACTCTGTCACTGTCGAGTCATGGCGATGAGATGTCATGCCCCACTTCCTCTAATTCTGATACATCATGAGTGCTGTGTAAAATCTAATCCCTCACTTCCTGTGTGTGTGTAGGTGTGTGTGTGTGTGAGTAGGTGACTCATGTGAACCTACGATGCATTCTGCTTTGTTGTTACATAACTGTCGCTGCTCACACAGACAGATATTACAGACAACACACTCTGGCAGCTAGACTGAACTATCTCTCTCCCTCACACACACACACACACACAGTACAAGACTGGGGTGTGTGTGTGTGTGTGTGTGTGTGTGTGTGTGTGTGTGTGTGTGTGTATGTGATTGTGTGGCGGAGAGAAAAAACAGAACTCAAAGGATTTGTGTCAACTCCAATCCGACTTTGCAACGCAGGAAGAACTGAAGGCAAAGAGGAGCAGCTACAGCATGAGGAGTGAGTGAGGGATGAAAACACAACATGACCTCTTCTAAATTACAGTAAATGAGCTTAATATTATATATATATATTTATATCACAGAACTAGAAAAGAGCACTCAGGTGCAGATCTTCGCCAGGTTTGTCTCCCTCTAGCCTCCAAAACATCAAGTCAAGATGGCATCGAAGATAACAAAAACAGGGATTGAGGGATTTATTTATTCATCTCGTATCATGGAGTTAATCTGCAGATGCTCCAGTTCAAAGATGTACCAAACTTTTCTATGCATGTCAAATGTTTTGAGCTAAAGACCTGCAACAGACTCGGTAAGGCTTGATTTTAAACTAGCCCTTTGCTGGAAATGCCTTTTAGCTACTAAAGCAGGTGTTGATCACTTGCTGCGCCTTCTTAAGAGCAGTGAGGAGTTAGCGGTCAAAGACACAACAAACCAGTCAATAAAATACCACGAGAGGTCCTCGAGCAGACGGCCATGAATGAGCACAGAAAATATGAGGGTGATGGGTCCAGTAGTATGGGAGATTGGCTGCGGACAGACGCACACACACACACACATATGGCTGAACACATGATCCCCCCAGGCTTACGGCTGGTAATAACATAACTCCTCCTGGGCTGTGTGTTGTGTAACATGATAGAGTGAGCAGAGTTTTGTGATATTATTGATTCATTGCTATTGTCAGATTGTTATTCTTTAATAATATGATGAATAAATGCATTTTAATTGGACAAGAATGCGATTCCATATGCTATTCCTGTAAGTGCAGAGGCCATTTTTGTTCATTCTAGTGAACATAAAAGTACTCTGACAAATGAATTTAATGTATTTAGTTAAGCGATGAAGTAACGTCAGTTGAGCTCATTGTTCCCATATCTTTGTGCTGCTCCACACAGCAGGAAGATCTCTGCATCAGAAGAGTTTAAAGACGCATTTCAGGACTTTCAGCTGCTGCATTGAAGCATCATTATGAACTGATTACTGTCACCACAAACTGAGCCTCATTTTAAATAGAAGGCTGACGTTTTATATCGTTTAACAGCTGCACTGTAACCTTTGTTCTTGAGACGCTGGATAAAGCTGAGGATTATGAGTTTCCAGGGTTGTCAGAGTGATTTTATTTAACCTGTGTAAGTTAATTCAGATTAAAATCGTATTCATAACCAGCATGGCGAGAGATATGATGATGGGGAAATGTGTTTAAACGATGACGTCAAGACAAAAAGGCGAACACATAACGGCTACAAAGAAGACTGATTTAAAAACAAGTAAAACCTCCAACATGCAGCAGACATACAGTAAAACTCACTGCGTCATCTGATGCATTTCCAGAAAGAACGAGAGACAAGGAGTTCAGATTTTTATAGACTTGAATGCAGTTTCATAATGAGAATGATATCATTTCTCTTCTGACTTGCTTATGGTTGCCAGCAGTAGGCTACTGCCAATTTCTCAAAATCACATATAAATGTCCTTAGAGAGAGTTTGGTTTGAGATAAAAAGGCTTCTGAAAATCCTAACTGGACAGTAGGAGCACAGTAAATAATGCTCGCTGTAGATTGCACAGAAACTCTGCTCCTAGTCTGCATGCAAGACAAAGCAGACTGCACACACTTGATGACAAACAGATGAGAGTAACTCTACTGTTTGCAAAGGCAGAAGTAGCGTGACATTACGATACTGTACAATCACAGAACGTCTTAGAGAGGAGGTTGCTTTCTTTTATCTCTGCAAAAAAATTAGGAGAAACTTTTCGTAGGATATGATACAAACCGTTTTATGAGTATAAGTTGCCTAATTGAACCAACGCTTAACCATAGAGTAATGCTGTTGTGAGGACTTGATGAAATGGGAAAGAAAAGTGTAAAAGCAATTATTGTATAGGTAACTTGTCAAGTTGCCACGAAAAACACATTTCTAAGGTGTAACACCAGCGCTGGTAGCAAAACATGTCTGTGCAGAGCTTGTAATACTCTAGAGGTTAGGCAAGAGGAAAGAAGGGGGGGGGGGGGGCAGGACAGTCAGAGACAGAGACACTGAGGGAGTCAGGTATTGCCTGTAGCCACAACAGCACTCCATAATTTCTTCATCTTTCTCTGTGGTATTTCCTCTCTCTCCGTCCCTCCGTCCCTCCTCTCATCCATCTCCTCCCAGCTCTCTCTGACAGTCTATTTGGCCCACACAGCCCTGTCATCCATTCAACATGTCAGCCCCGGCGACGGCACCAATCTCACACTGACTGGCGTTTGTAGCCGGGCAGGCGGGACCCGCGGTAATAGAGCACCCGTGCCGTCGCCGAGAGCCCGTGGGTTCAACTCCCATGACACCCGGGTCACGGAGTCGACCCCACAGTGAGAAGACCAGAGGTTCAGTCCTCGTGGGACAGAGAGTTCATCGCCTGGTTCAAGGTTTATTACGCAATCTGTATCCACGTGACTGTGTTTAAGGTTTCCTTTGAGAACTCAATATACCAGCAACTTATTTTTACTTTTACAGTTTTGGTTCATCATTGATATCAGTGTTCATACCGTTTTACTCAGCAGCTCAGTGAGACGCGGAGTGGACGAGGAAGCCAAATGAACTGTCAGTCTGAGTTTAGTCGGGAGGGAAAACTATATGATCAGTGACATTAATGCTTGTGTGTGCAACTAAGTACATTTAGTCTCTCTGCTAACTACAACGAATGTTTACAGCAAACATTTTGGGTCATTTTGAAATTACTTCTTGTCACATCCTGCATGATTTTGTTCCAGTAACTTTTTAAATAACATGGCTGTTGCTTCATCCTCCCTCCTTTTGTTTGTTTGTTGAAATAGCACCGAGCCAGAACCTGCCTCACACTCTTTACACTACTGTCAACTATTTGCGCTGACGGATCAAATCTGCACTAAAGATATCATGCGTCCAGCCTTTAGCATACTGAACGTGTTAAACGTGTCAAACATGTTGCATAAATCTGTAAGTGTCGGACTGAAGTCAGAGGGCCTTTTGTAGCGTTGCCCTTCATAGCTGAGTGGAGAGAGAAAGCCACTTAGATATGACACAGAGAGGCTTTGATATCCTCTGGGGAGCCCAGCACTAAGACCTCATGCAGTCCTGCTACTGTGAGGCTCTTTACATCAAACTGTCAACCGCTGTCTCTTGAAATGCATTAACACTGGAAATGTGGCTTTTAACACAACACAGATATCAAGGAATCCTATATTGTCTTGGTAATCCTTTCTCGGTCGCGATGCATTTCATTTGTTGCCACCCAGTTTCCTGCTGTCCAGCTCACGTATTCTGTTTGTATCTTGACCCATATGGGTTCGTTACGTCACCTGCACCTGTTTAGATTTCCTCTCTTTTATATAACTCAAACACATGCATGCTGATCTGAGTAACCTACGAAAAAACATGCACTGTTGCTTTTAAGGCTTCTGTACTTCACCGCTGAAACAAGAGAGTTAGGAGTGTGTGGGAGGAAAGCCTGGGAGGAAAGCTGAGCGAGAGAGAGAGAGGGATGAGCCTTTTCCAAAAATCACTATAACACGCCTCCAAAAGCCCTACAGGGACCTACAGTGTGTTTGCTATAGTACATTTTCTTTATGTTACTTTTAATTGCTTCTAACAGCACCACTGTGAAATTATTAGATGAAGGAAACAATGTAATTCAATAACATAAGTGTCGGGAGTTGTTGTACATTGTTGGAGAGCACAACACACAGTAGGTAGTGTGTTTATTAGTATTTATATTGACTTTGTTTCCCTCCTGTGTCACACTGTCCATCAATAATGGCCTGCAGGAGATCAACTGGGTTGAGATCTGATGACTATAAAGGACGTGTCATACTCAAAGAATACAGTGACGCCTCATGCATCTGCATTCATTCGTCATGTCTCTGACATGCATTTAGATCATTTAAGTAAAAGTAGTGGAGCAGACATTTGAAAGTATTCTTTTACACTTTTACAAGTTAAAGTCCTGCATTTCAAATGATCTTTTCAGTAAAAGTAGAAAACTACAACTATAAAAACTATATTCAGAAACATGTTCTTAAAAGATTCATATACATTTATTTCTAATAATTTATTGTCAATGTTATCAAGTATTGGATTATTATTTCTGATGCATTAATGCGTAAGCGTAATTTCATGTTGTAGCAGGTCGAAGTCATTTTATCTACTTTATTTACAGTTGGGTAGTTACATCTGTAAGAAGGCATTATAAATTATAATCTTGTTATTTTAATCTGAAAGAACAGTAATTATGGCTGGGTATTAGTGGAGTAAAAAGTGGAGCATTTGCCTTTAAAGTTGTAGTGAAGTGGAAGCATGAAATTAAAATGTTCAAGTATTTGAGTAATATATAATCACATGCCACCAGTGTTTTTTACCTCCTGTTAGTGCACCTACTGGAATATTACATAATACCAGTGTGTACTGGAGGAGGTAAAATACTATGAGGATTATGTCAGCATGAACTCGCTCTTTAGCACCAAAGGTATGAACAATAATGCACCGCCCTGTTCTAGTGTTGTGGCAAATATATACATATAATATATACTGTATTTAGGTGTGTGTAGTTTGACCAGAGAGGGGGAGAGGGAGAGAGAGAGAGGGAGAGAGACAGAGAGAGTTTAAACGGGGATATGGAGAGAGTGACATAGAAAGAGAGAAATTAGCAGCTTACCTGCAAAAAATGTAGAAATATGTGTCCACGCGCAAGCAGGAGTCCTTTCATCAGCTCCTTAATGTCGCTTCACATCACTGACAAGAGCAGCAACAACATCCCAGTGTGATCAACCAGTCCGGAGGTCCTCCCTCTCTCTCTCTCTCTCTCTCTCTCTCTCTCTCTCTCTCTCTCTCTCT